GGGGAGGTAAACTACTATAAGAAACTAGCACAGAAAAATACAGTAGTATTTTAGTACTAATAATTTTATTAGAAGAACACTATTATTATTTTTTTTTAAGTCTTCAATGCTACAATTAATTCCCTCCATTCATCCAACTGAGGAGCTCGATGGCGCGGGTGGTTAGCGCGTTCGGCTGCGATCGTTGAAGTTAAGCAACTTTCGCAGTGGTTGGTCATTGGATGGGTGACCAAAAATCTTCTATCTCGAGTTCCTCCGTGCTTCGGAAGGCACGTTAAGCCGTTGGTCCCGACTGCATCTGCAGTCGTTAGCACCCGCCAATCCGCACTGGGCCCGCGTGGTGGGTCATGGCCCAATCTCCCTATTCCATCCATAGGGAAGGCCTGTGCCTCAGCAGTGGGGACATTAATAGGCTGATGATGATGATCATCAGCTGACATGAGAACCTATGGTAGTTTTAATAAATTACCTGGGATAGGAGAAACCTACCATAGGCGAAAAGTTATTATGAGAAACTACAATAGGTGGAGGAACCTACCAATAAAAAATACTATCATGAATGAGTAAAAACAACCACGAGAAACTAACATGGGCGAAAAGCTACCATAGGAAACTACAGAAAGAAACTACCATAGTGGCAGAAAACTACCACAGTTGAAAGTGAAACTATTATAACAAAACAAAATCTCGCCAAATCATTTTTTTTCCAAAACGGCATATTAATATCCCAATATAGCAATTCCGCCGTGACGTAACGAAAGCACGAAGCTTCGTGGCGATACACGCAGGTGCAGCCCCAGCTCAGAATAACGTAAAAATAACTGGACCCAGGTTTGTAAGCCTGTTTAATAATGTAAGTACCCAAAGTGACTGAATCTAAGCTTTGAATACGCTAACATTGTGGGGGAATCGACTCAGGCGAAGCTATAGTATCCCAACTCCCAAGCGTACCGTAACGTTTGAGAATAGCTATTGAATTATGCACGGTACCGTAGGTACTATATGAGCTTTTATTTTAGTACTAATAATTTTATTAGAAGAACCCTATTCCTTAATTTTTTGATAAGTCTTCAGTGCTACAATTAACCATCCATCCAGCTGCCACGAGAAGATATAAATTATACACATAAATTAAATTATAAACGCAAGTGCGGTCCTGCGTGGAATATTGCACGCACCTCTGGGATAGCTCCGCCAAGTACTTGCTCGATGCTTTGGATAGGTTACAGCGGCGCGTGATCTGCATCATAGGCGATGAGGAGGTGACTAAACACCTTGAGCCACATCAATTACGCCGTGACGTGGCGTCACTAAGCGCGTTCTATCGTCTGTACCACGGCGAGTGTTCTGAGGAGTTATTCTCTCTTATCCCACCTTCCCCTTTCCTTCAGAGGACAACGCGCGCTGGCCTACGTTGTCACCATCTAACTGTGGCCACAATTCCAACGCGTACAAAGAAATTTGGTGACTCATTTCTTTGTCGCACTATCCGTAAATGGAATGCTCTGCCCGCTCACGTCTTCCCTTACAACTTACAACCTGAGATCCTTTAAAAGAGGCGTGAAGAAGCATCATGCAGGCCGGCAGGGTGAGGATGGCTGGTGTGGCAGGTAGAACTGCTGTATCAGCTATCTTCGTGTCTGGGCTTCAACTTAATTAAATTAATTAATTTTCTAGAAAAAATAATTTTCTAGACTGACATTCCTACCCTTAACTTATTATTTTGTTAAAAAACGAATGCCATTACTGAATACAACATGGCAACGAACAGAATGGCAAGGTGTAGCCTGAAGGCAACGAGAAAATTGGACTCAGTTCAAATTGGATTACCTACGTATTTATATCATTTATAAAAGTTACATCCTGCCCGACATGAATGGAATGGAAAACATGAGCGGAGGAGACTCACCTTTCATAAGTTAACTAATTGAACGTAAGAATACTTATTAAGTTAATCTACTTGTAATTTTCACGGTGGTAATGTTACCTCAAACTTAGAGTTCTGTAAGATCTGTAAGATTACAGAACTCTAATTCAGATGAATTATAACTGCTTGAGTTTCTTATTACCATAAGTTATTAACCTATGTCAATATGTTGTTTTATTTATAAAATCTTTGTGGAATATTTTCGGGTACGATTACGTGTTCGAACATCCGCGGGTCGCAATTCGAAACGTCAAAGGTCGGTTGGCATAACGGACTTGAGTAGCTAATCTTCCTTTAATATTTGGGTTGGGAGACTCATAAGATTTTCTACTTCGCTTTTCAAAGGAACACTTCGCATAGCCACACAAATATATACGAATATCTTTTGAAAACATGTGTATTTTGAAGGCGTACAAAAAGCCCAAATGCTTAGTATTTTACACAGATTCCCAAGAGATCTGTACCTTTCTTTCTAGACTAGTATTATTTCTTTTGTACCGTAATGTTAACTTTAATGTGGAAAAAAACCAGTAGTCTTGTACGAATGCACCACACAAGAAACAATAAAATTACTAAAGTATAATAAAGTAAAATAAAGCGTTTATACGTACCAAATTTCATTCAATCCGTCCAGCCGTTTTTGCGTGCTTGAGCAACAAACAAACACATACATTTAGAAAATTAGTAAGACTAGCGGTTGCCCGCGACTTCGTCCACGTAACTTAGCTTTTTAAGGATCGCACAGAAAGGAAAACTTTTAATAATAATAAAATAAAAAGTATTCTATGTATTTGCAGGATATATAAACCCGTTCAGCCGTTTTTGCGTGATAAAGTAACAAACATACACACTTTCATATTTATAACATTAGTTGGAAGTAGGGTCTAGCGACCACTCGGGACTTCCCACAGGAACAAAACTTTTTTCGCTCTATAAAGTATCATTTGTTTCAATCCAGTCAAATTTCACCAAAACACAGAAATATAGAAACTTTTACATTTATAATATTAAGTAGGACTAGTGGGAGCCGGCGCCTTGGCTGGGTGGTTTAATCGGTTACTTATACAAACTTCCACCCGCTATTGATTCCTAAAAAGGATAATTTCTGGTATAGAAACTATCTTATGTCCTTTCCCGGGACTTAAAAGGGCGAAGAGGTAACAGACAGACACACTTCCGCGTTTATAATATTTATAAGCACCTTTACGCTTTAAACGACCTTCGTGGCTGAGTGGTTTGTACGCCGGGTTTTATCACATGTTTGTGTGATGAATATGAGCATTTGCACTGCAGTCATGGATGTTTAATATGTATTTCTATATAAATATACTTATATATGTACAATATATGTATTCTATCCGTTACCCTAGCATCCCATAACACAAGCTTTACAGTGCTTACTTTGGGACTAGGCTAATTAGTGTGTGTTGGAAAAAAAAGCATCAGATTCAGCGGTCTCCATAGGAGATTCTCTTCCGCCACTGGATTTGCCCATTTGAGCAGCAGTAATGAAATCAAAAGGGTTTTTTTCCTATTTAAAAACTAAAAAATTTAGAACCGCGCCTACACTTTTCAGTTTCGCGGCCTTTCTTCCAGTTCAAGTGACATTCACACGGCTACGTTCAAAAACCCACGCTCCTGAAAGTGCGATGCGTTCGCCTTCGGAAACGTCGCCGCGCGAATGTGCATAAACACCAATACATATTTTTATTTAAATGCCGCTACTTCATTAAAAGCCGAGAAGTTTATTTCACATGTTCTTCTTGTCAGCTAAAAGATAAAAAGTAAAAAAAAATTAAAACCACTACGACTCAAAAGAGCTTTTAATAAGTCAACTTGAATAAAGTTTATTTTCATTTCATTTCAGTACTTTTAATATTATACAGATAATTTGGTCAAAAATCGTAAGATTTAGTTGAAGACCGAAACAGGTGAGACGTAATAAAAGCTTGAAAAATTCGTAGTTTTTATTTTATTTTTGTCTATTATTCTAAAATTCTTGTAAAAGTAGTGTTATTGTCGCCAAAAGTAAATTATCTTTTATATGAATTATGTAGCTGCACACTTTATCTAATCATACAAAAAAATAATGTTATCACTTTTATCATCAATTCAATACAATTTATAATCATCAATATTATTAGTAACTTCGATATCTGGAACCCCACACCACAAAACAAGGAGTAGAGAAGGTCATCTCATGTATGTACTTGACTATGCATATCTATGCTCGGCGGTTGCCCTTGGATTGTCAACTTTGGCTTATGCACAAAAACTATCGTGGTAGTGGCACTTGTATCTACCTGTTTGATTTAAACGGAAATATAAACCAATAATAACTAAAATATTTCAATTTTAATGTAATTATTATATTATAAATAAAAAACAATTCAAAGTCATATCATAATGTTGGATTTAAACAACCGTCTAATGAACAGTATATCTGTAACTTTTTTGTTGCTTCATTTTTGCACAAAGTAGCGAAGTTCACAGAGGCGTGTCTCAAGCGAACTGAACTCGCGCTCGCAGTGGTGCCAACTGGGGATCAATCGCCTAACGGAATTGCTATGGGTATCGCTATCGCTTACGACTTCATTTTGTTATTTCTGACCGCCGGAGGTTTTCTAATACCTTACGCTCATTATATTTATTATTGTTGTTACCAATACAAAAGAAAAAAAACGAGTGCGGGGCATTTGAAAGCCTTCGGCCCATGACCGCCAAAGGGTTTCAAAAGCCTCGCGCTGATTTTTTTTTCTTTTGCATTGGTAATAACAATGTTAAAGTCTGTATGGTCTGAGATATCGTGTCCATGAGCGGTGTCTGTGTGGGCGTTTCTTGAGCGCACTTTGTATGTAGATTACCTTCTGTACTGTCTATTTTGTACCCAAATTTTGTGCAACAACTTGTCAACTAAAGAAAACATTACCTTATGATGTCACGGATAGATTGTAAAATTGCAGTTTTGTACTAGTGTAAACTTATAAACTGACGTCAGTTGACCGACGAAAAGACGAATGTCATATTACCGTTAAGTGAAGAAGACGATTGCTTACATTCGGTTTCAGACCAAGTAAATAACAAGTTGTTTAGCCACTACGTGAATAAATCTAAGTAAAATTTTATACTCTGTTAAAATGAACAGCGGCACAAAGGATTATCCCTACGAAATAAAAAAGTTGGATCCTGAGGAGCACGCGGAAGTGTTTAAACAGTTCAATGCAGGTAACAATCAATGCGTGGTTGTTCAAAAACATAAACGTGGGGTAATTTGAACAAGTTAGAGTGCATTTTTATCATTGCTGTCACTCTGTCGTCTTTCTGTCCGTATGTCACGGGTCCCTTGATCGTAAACGGAATGAGCAACGGAACTGAAATTTTGGTATTATATGTAGAATGTCGAAGCCGAATATTTAGTAAAAAATGCAATTAAATTATTTTTCACGGGGGTTCCCGTACCGTATGTGCCGAAAAAATTAATTTGTCTAAACCTATGCTTTAAGACCTTTATAAAAGATTCTGGAGCATTTACCTTATTGCCACCATTATCCAATCCAAAGCCAATCGTAATAACCATAATATTATTGATACACTGAAGGAGACGGTTCATATTTGTATGGAGGTTGGCAGTCAGTCTTTGGCAGACTACATTTTTTTATGACACGTATTTTTGTCAAACGATTTACTGTTAGTGCCCAATTGTAAATCGCTTGACAAAAACTAGAATTTATTTTGTCCCCTTTTTTTAATTAATACTATAATATAAAATTCATATTATAATAACACTCTTTCACTTTTTCAATCCCTTTTGCGCGAAGGGTTTACTTATCAGACAGCCACAATTTTTAACCCCCGACGGAGTTTTACGTGTCTGTGTTTCTGTTAGTCCGAGTGTCTTTCTGTGGCATTGTAGCTTCTAAACGAATGGACCGATTTGGATACGGTTTTTTTTTTATTTTAAAGGTGACATGATCAAGATGATTCTTAGCTATAATTTATGAAGTTCAAGTATATTCAGGGGTTTGAAGATCATCAGGTCATTTCCCATTTGAGAAAAGGGTCTTACGAATTTCACTGTTACTATTGATTAAGAATTTCTGCACATTTACCTGCACGTAAACCATAAACCCTCATTCGTTTATAATACCCCTCACTATATAACACTTGCATAAATAACTATTACGGATCCCCAATATAGCGAGGATAGGCTCGCGCTTGGCCAGTTTTTTTTACCTATGTAACTACTATTTTATTTTAAGACAATACTATTTTATTTTTAATATATACCTATCTCATAAAACTAATTTTCCATAGCGAAAGGAAACCATTCCGGTGTTGCTACCTAGTACTGAGATATATAGAGTTCTTCTCATAAGTTTTTCCAACATAGTAGGGTATGATGAGTAATCTTATTTATTTATAAAAGGCGTCCTCATGGTGTTTAAGTCGATGCAGTGTCTGAAGGAGAGGGATAGGTGGGATGTAAAATCTTATATGTAAAATTCTCGTGTCACAATGTTAGTCCTCCGTACTCCATACTCCTCCGAAATGGCGTGACCGATTTTTATGAAATTTTATATGCATATTCAGTAGGTCTGAGAATCGGCTACTATCTATTTTTCATACCCCAAGTGATAAGCATTGTCCACACTTAATTTTTTTTTATAATGTGTCATTAAAAATACGTACCATACAAAATTTTCACCCTTTTACCACCCATATTTTTATGGCGATACAAAGTTCGCTTTGTCAGCTAGTAATAAATAAATATTTGTAATGGCTCGATTACACTTGGTCGTTAGCCGGTATTCGGGTGCACGAAAGACATTACTCGAATTCGAGCACCCAAAGCAATATTTGCACTGGAGTTACTTTCTGCCCGTATGGGTCGAAGACGGTTTCGGGTAACCGAAACGAAAACTACCCGAATACGGGCGTACTTGACTCCGTTCATTTACACATAGTTGTTTACCCGAATTCCATTGGCACTCGTACTCGGGCTAACGACCGAATGTAATCGCGCCATAACACTCACACTAATTCTGACAGACAGGAGGAAAATTGTCACCAAGACTTATTCAATTTAATCTTCTTGTAAAAAACATACCCCTTCCATTACTTCTTCAAATTCGTTTCCTTATTGTTTTTCTTTGTAATTTTGTTGACATAATGAAGAAATGGCTTTTGACTTAAAAAAAATACATGTATTGTATGATTATTATGTGTAATATAATGTATAGTTATTATGACATTTGGAATGCAACTATTACTCAATTTAAATTTAAATTTTTAGGTAATTTGTTAGTATTTTGTATGCTCTTTCAAGGGCGAAACATATGGAACTTTTTATATTATTTACCAGCTATAACAAACTATGTTTCATGCAAATAAACTTTCATTTCATTTCATTTGTCATTCATAGAGCAACACGACCGGCGCGGTCGTTGTCAGTCGACAGCTTCAATTTTCTGTCAAAACAGGTAATTAGATAGAGATTTGCGTGGCGTCGTCGGCGGGGATTGCAATCCGAGGGCCTATTACAAAAAATATTAAAGAAAAACGCCTTAAGCTGCCTCAAGGTGTAAAATATAAACAGTTGAATTTTTTATTGTTATTTATGCAATTGTTGTATATATGACGTTGGATGGTTTAATGTTGGCAATAAGCTAACTGATTCAGAATCTTTTATAGAGGTTTTTAAGTAGGGTGTAAATAAAAATTATAACTACCTAGTAATAGTTAGAACAAGCACCATGAAAGTGTTCATTTGTTTTTTTTTTCCATAAACAGCTTTCAAATAAATAGCCTCTCTTTATAGCTACAAGCCAATTCGAAATTGAAATAAAACCTTCGTGTGAACACTTTAATAAATGCTCTAAATATTCCTAGTGCATATAATGTGCATTTGGTCATATTCGAGGCTATTTGCCCTGGTTTAACCTGGTTTAAATCTTTTTTGCCCAGTCAAAGCACGATTTTCCCTAACAAGTCTACCAAACAGCACCGATTAGCACCAAAATTTGGTTATGGATTCTACTTACTCTATACTTCAAAGCTGTCAATGTGCCGATGGTTTCTTTTACCCTGAGGGTAGGCGCCACCCCTTGTCGGGGATGAAAAATGTTTTATTATAAATAATAATGGGAATACTGATATTTTCTAAGCAATTTTGTTGCATAAAGAATTTCACAAAAAACACTTTAAAAAAGTTCTTTATGGTTTCCCCGAATAATGCATATTGCATTGTTTTTTGGATACCTATTTCAAGTTGAAACCTTCAATGGTTGAAACTTTCAATTTTGGCATTAGACTGATTTGACGAAGAAGACGTTAACAAGCTATTATTCAGTTAGTATTTGGTGTAGTGATATTTTAAACACAGTATTTTATATTTTTTTTTATAAGTTAAAATTTTACTCCGTATGATTGTTTTCATAAAATACTTATTTTCAAAGTTATTTATGAAAAACCATCTGAAAACGTGTTTTTACTTGAAAAATTGACTTTGCCAGTCTGTCAATATCGTTAATATCGTCACACTGTCCAAAGTCGTTAATAAAAATAACGAAGAGCAGAGGACCAAGCAGGGATCCCTGCGGGATACCAGATGGAATGTATGACCAAGAAGAAATATATCCGTTTACTACAACAGCCTGAGACGTTTTGGAGATGTACGATGAGAACCATCTGAAGAGATCTCCCCTAATGGGTGGGGACCCTCAGAAGTTTCAATAGCAACATTATGTGATCAATTCGATCAAAGGCCTTTGCATAATCAGTGTATACTATATCCACTTGCAGGCCCTGTACCATTTGATCAGGCAGATTCTCGGTAAACACAGCCAAATTTGACACAGTGGAACGATTCTTCAAAAATCCGTGCTGATGAGGACTAAAAATAGATTTAAAACTGTTACAGACTTGGTCATAGACTATTTTTTCGAGTACTCTTGCTAGTTTACACAGTTTGGATATGGGTCTATAATTCTGCACCTTCCTTAGCACCTTTTTTATGAATGGGCGTAATGAAAGCGGACTTCCATTTGGCAGGCATGACACCCTCCTTTAGAGACCTTTTAAACAGAATTGAAACTGTATAACATAATTCGTCAGCACATCTTATTATGAATATCGAAGAAATACCATCCGGTCTAGCAGACTTATTTACATCCAAAGATTTTATCATTTAAGGAACCGTATTATGTAGTATCAAATTCAATGGAGCAAATGTCACTAACGCCATCAACAATATGCTCGGGATCAGCAAAGCCACAATTTGTGTTTAGATCGGGGATTTCAGAGTCCAAAAACGTAGAATTAAAATATCTAGAAAAAAGCTCACTGATTGTGGCACCGTCTTGACACTGCTGACCTCGATAGTACATGCATTCAAAGTCGTATCCAACATTCGCAGATTATCGTTGTAGGACCAAAATGATTTGGGATTATTTACAATTAAATTCTCAATAAGGGAAATATATTTAATATAACTATCACTTTCAACATATTTAGCCCTATCACGGAGGATTCTGTTTGAAAGTTCACCACACTTGTTACCATAAACCTTAAAATTACGGTGATATTATTTTTGGAGTTTACTCCTTAAGAATGGATTTGCATATATAAGGGGCCCGGTATGAGAAAAATGTGAGGAGTAAAATCTATCGATGAATGACCTCGTTACGTTTGTGGTGCGCATCCTATGTCGCGCAACTTTGACAAACAAAGATGACGGATTGACATTAATATTTTTTTTTAAATCTGAACTGATTTTAGATATTGTTTCTGATAGAGCGATGGGGACAACGAGGTATGGTACAACCATTGATGCGGTATTTTCAAGATTCGTGAACCTCGTATCTACGAACGTCCATGAGTCTTATTTTAGTTACCATAAACCACTTATCACTGTTATTAATAATGCAGACAATTTTGATTTAATTAATATTTAAAAAAATGATAATAGTCTGATAATAATAATTACATAATTTATCAACATTCCTAATGATATATTTATGTACATCTGAAATTGACTATTGTAAAAAGTTTAATGTAAAATATTTCGTAAGTATAGTACGTTTCGGTGCTATAAGTGGATTGAGTTCAACAAACTTAACCGCAATATCCAACGCTCTATGATGTGGGTCCTCCGGTACAAGGGGATCGTGACTACCAGATACTGATACAAAGTCGTTATATATTACTAGATCTAATATTTTACCGTGATCATTATGGATATAATTAAACTGATCAAAGCAGCACAAATTCAACGTTTCAATAAAATCTATAGCAAACTTTACCCGACAGTTGGGTCACCTGCAAGCCCTCAGCGGTGGCCCCATCTTATGGAGCTCATGTTGAAGTAGCCAATGATGAGGAATTTATCTAATGGATTTTCAATTTTTGATTATTGTAAGTTTATTCATGAAATTGTACAATTGCACATTCTGAGAATTACCTTTATTTTCGTCACATAAGTAGAGTATACAAATATGTATCTGTAATTTTAATTTATGTTTTAAAATGTTATTATTAGAACTACCAGTAAACGAGATGGATATCCACAGGTCCTCCGCACTAGATTGCCACTGTGACCAGTCGCCATAAAACTGTGGCAAGCTATCAACACCCCACCTCCCCTAGTCTGCCCCGTCTAGCATAATCCCTATCACGACACCACACTATATAACGGTCATCAAATAGCTCACTATCCGATATTCCCTCTCAAAGCCAAGTCTCAGTTAAAGCTATTAGATCATAGTCACTCAACATTAAATTCCGAAGAAAAATTACAGCCTTAGTTCGTAGGCCCCGAACGCTTTGGTAATAAACGTTTAGATATGTTCTATTAGCCATTCGTATTGAAGTAACAATAACTATGCATAACTGTACGAAAAAAAAATTGATTCCATAAAAAATAGAAGCATCTCATTTAAATTAATCACCAACCTTGTACCAATCGCAATAACAAAAATACTTTTTAAATGATGACTGCAATAATAATTCTTGAATACTAAAAAATATAAATTTTTAATATTATGCACCATCTCCAAAACTATCGCAATAATACGTAAAATTACCAAATTGCTGTCATTCTGTCATCTGTCTGTCCGTCCGTATGTCACGAGTCTGTAGATCGCAAACAGAACGAGTGTTACTCGAACTAAAATTTTGTTATTTAATGTAAAATGCTTGCCAAAAGCCACATTAATATTAACTTAATATATAAAAAATCTATTTAATTACTTTTTAGGGGGGTTCTCATACATGAAAAGGAGACGAAATTTAGAGTTCAATCATTGGTGCACTTAGTTATAAAAACAAATAATATTTTAAATTTTGATTTGCTGCAGATAAGCATTTCACACTATTGGTGTTTTTGGTCAGCTCTATCCACTAATAATATTTCTGTTTACCTTCCTCACAGAGACAACATGGACACAGGAGTTAGTGTGGCAGGTGGCCAATGATTTCAACTACGCTAAAGCTGAAGATATTCCACTCGTGAATAGATTCTCGTTTATAGAGTAAGCTGATAGTTTCTTTCATTGATTTATCTACCATTGCATAAGGAATATAGAGCTAGGAATCTTTAGTAATAGATTATACAACATTTTTGCAGATCTGCTTTGTTTTCAACGAAGAGAAAGCCCAAAAAGAGTTTGGATGTTATGAGAAAAACAAGGCTATTTTGGACGCAGCGAACAACATTTTCGATCGAGTGTCGACAATGCACTCGCCACGGTTCATCAAGTCGCACCTGCCGCTGTCGCTGCTGCCGCCCGCGCTGTAGGACTCCTGCCGCGTGGTGCATGTGGCGCGCGACCCCAGGGACGTGGCCGTCTCCTTCTACCACAACTACAACTTCTTTCGATTCATGGGCTATTCCGGCAACATTAAGCAATTCCGGAATTTATGCATTGTAGATAGAAGTGAGTACTTTAAGGGGGCTTCACGTATACTCGCGCGACTGCAACGATGCAAGAGGAACACTTTACATAAGAGATATACTGCAGCGTGGTTTAGACACGAAGCAGGCGCTATCGTCTGCGCGTCTCATGATATTTAAAATCCTTGTGAATGTGTGAAAGGAAACCCAAGTCGTCCGGCATCAGCCATAACTCTTGTAGTGCAATCATATCACACTCATCACACAACTGCTTGACGTAAGTTTGTGATCTTCGTACGGATTGGCAGTTAAAGCTAGACAACTTCACGGTTTTACTTATACCGACGTATCTTCTTGATCAATGGCGGCGCTAGGCGTCGGCGACGTCGGCCACGGCCGACGGCCTCGCGCCTGAGGGGGCCTCGCAAAAAATTTTTACAAGTTACCTATTTATTTTCGTTTCTCCTGGCCTGGCTTAGATAGCCGACCCCGAACAATTCGGGGAAAAAGCTAAGCAGATGATAATGACTTTTATTATTTTCTAACACGTGCGTGATGGAAGCTAGTAGTACTTTACGGGTATTCAGAATCGTCTGTCTGGCAACACTATTTTTGTAATTAAATTTCTATGTTGTAATTATTTTTTGTCATCATTTGATTATCAACAATAAAACTCGTTTACTCATACGTTATTTTATAATTTGGCTCACTTAATTTAACGGTTTTTTTATTGCGAAGTAAAATAGGCCTCGCGAACTTGATGTCGCCGACGTCCACATGTGGTCTAGCGCCGCCACTGTTCTTGATGTTTCGATAACAAAAAATAGAAAAATTCTAAGTTACTTGTAGTTTAATATATAGGTAGGTATTTAGTTTGGATGTGAATTCTAAGCAATCAGGCAGATGTAACGAGTCCGTTTTCAGATTTGCCTTGTTTGTATATTCTGAATACTATAGATGTTGGCCAGTAATCTTCCTTTAATATAATGTTGAGGTCTTTCTTAGACATCATGATTTTAAAGGATTTAAAGTCGTCTTTTTTAGATTAAGTGTTTCAATCCCGTAGATGTTTTGCCTATTCTGTTTTAAATACTCTTCAATATAAGTTTCTGTGCAGTCGCTCGCAAATTTTGATTTGTATACGGGTATTATTTGTTCCGCTACTTTTAATAATGTTGAGGTGTTAGTGCCCCGTTTGTTCTTAGATCGGTATCTTGTCTTATCGTTTGATTCTGTATAGTTTTCAATGCATTGCCGCTTTCTTTTTCTATTTACTTCTGTAAACCCTTCCGTATCAACTTGTTTGTTTATAAATATTTGCTGCGAATTATTCAGTAGTGCCTGCTTATAGTTTATATGCTTTTGCTGTAAATGTATGTTTGGTTGCTGTGAGCTAATTGTTGTTGCGGTTGTTAAATGTGATTGTTGCGAAGTAGATGTTGAAGGTACATCGCGGAAAATCGGTTGCCCCGCGGCGGGCACAGCGGAGTTGTGTTTCTTTATATCACAGATAGAAATCTGTGCAAGAAGAATCTTGCAATTTATTTATATATGATTTTGTTTCACTTTTGAACGTTTGCATTTCATTTTGTATCTTAGCTAGGATCTTCAATAGACTGGTGACATCCAGGTGGTCGAAAGTAACGGACGGTAGGTGGTTTAATTTTTTTGCAACAAAGGTCGGTAAATTTTCGGTTTCCTTCAAGATTTTAATGATATCTGTGATATTGCTGGAGTTCTTCGTATCTCCTTTACGGGTTATATTTCGTGCACTAGCAATTTCACATAGTAAAGACTTCGCATTTTCGATTTCTTCTTCACTATACCAAGCGGAACATATTTGCACAATGCTAAGTTCGTCCATAACATCGCACTCGTCTTGTATGAAGCACAACAGTTCGTTGATAGTAATGTTACACTAACACATAATGGCATAAAATAATTTTACATATAACAATCGCGATATAGTTTACGGGTACAAGGTAACTCGGTAGGTAACCAGATAAATGTTCAATAATTGTGTGTACGTGCATCACGGGTCGCTGACCGCGCGAGAGGTAGCTAAAGAAGTTTTCACTTCAAAAACTTGAAGAAATTTAATAATTTTGGGTCACTTGACCTGTGGCAGTACATACTTACATCGTGACTTCTCGAATTACCTTCTTGGCAGTATCAAAGTTAAACAGAAACATTTTAGTAATAATTTTGAATTTTCTTGTACGTACATACCTATCTACCCCCTTCCTCCCTTCGGTTTTGTATAGGGGTGGAAGTTCACGGTAACTTCGGCAGACTTTCTCTCCGAACTTGATAAATAATGTTCTTCAATTTCGCTTCATTTGTAAACACTTTGGGCAAATCTGAACTCGCTAAAAGCAAGTAATACGCTGGCTTTGTTTTGCGGGCAAGAGTCGAAAATTCGATATAATATATAGATTATCGTAGAAAATAATGGCCGTTTTTATACCATTCGGTCCATTAAGAGCGGACGCGAGCTGAGAGACATTTGAGAAATAGGTATTTAAAATAAACTATTGCTGTCACGCATTGGCAAATACTGTGCGAGAGGGACAATAGTAGTTAACGCTTAAAATTGCGTATAAAAATTGCAAAATTCGAAGTTTGGCTCTCGACGATTTGCTCCTCGAAAATGAGATATTTTTTTCTCGTAAAATGCTTAACAAATAAACATTTAACAATCTACACTTACATCTAGTCGATTTGTGAGCCTATTCCGAGTTGGAAAATGTTAAAACTATTCTTCCTGCTTTCCCGTTGCTCAGACTTTTAGTTAGAATATACTATAAGCTAGCCTAGTCTGGTCAGTGTCTTTTTTAAATTTATAGAATAATAATAATAAAATTACTTTATTTCTCACCACAAATGACAAAAAAGGTTTACAAAAATCTTAGGCGAATTATATAATCATGTTGTCATTCGTGGGAGACTGGTGCCCGTGTAGGTTCATAGACCCGTGTTACAGGTCACCAGGCCCCCATTGTTTACAGAAAACATTACACCTAGACAATGATACTCTAAGGGTTTGTATGGTAAACATCGACTAATAATGGGCAGTTTGTATGAGAGTGTGTGTGTGTATGTAGGTGTGCGTGTGAGTATGATTGTGTGTGTGTGTGTGTGCGGGGAGTAAATATTATTGTATTATGATAAAATCTGCAACAATTGTTCAGTTTCTGTATAAATAAGTGCCTGTAGGTATTTTACAAATTTTCCTCCTTTGGTTTGCAATCTTCTGTACGTTTTATTACCAGATTTCGTCTCCAGTTCGCTAAGAAAATCAGGAGGTTCCTGTCATTTTTACGGTCGCACTCAGAGACGTCAAATTCGACTTACGATTGGGTAATACTTGGTCCATAGCTATAACAAATAAAGTGACAGCAGTTAATTAAATTAAAAAATTTACTGGCGTCTCTGCATAGCAGTTAGAAATACAATTAAATAAGATTTCTAGCGTTTCAACAGTAGAAACTGTGACGTCCGGAATATCCACAAAGGAATTAAAAAATAGGTTTTACAGAAACATTCGCTTTGCATGGATAGCTTTACTTCCATTACGGCATTGCACATAGAACTTTACATTTAAAGGGTTATGTTCTCTTTGTGTGAGGCATTTTTATGGCAAAAGTTAGAGAGTGCTTTTAGTTGTTAGGCCTTTATTGTAAGTTTTGTATTACGCGAAACTAAAACTCTATACAGTAAATTCTACGAAGAAAGTAAATATAATACGTATCCACTCTTCGGCTACTATAAAAATACGTTAACAAGTATGTTAAGTTAAAAAAAAATGTCTAACTAAAGTGCACACCCAATCACACTGAAACAATAATTATGGACTGATTTAGCACTAATTGAAACATTCTTAAACAAAAGAAAATTAAAACAAACTTGTAGAATCCTGCAAAACATAAAGTACACAATGAAATATTCCGCTGACTGACCTTGACTTTGAGCTTTGATTTACGCCTATGTGGGTATATGCCATCATGGAATGTGCAGAAGCCAATCGTCAACGAAACTACACAAACCAGGCCATATATCTTTTCAGAGAGCAAAGCAGCGCTTAACGCTATTAACTCGAACACGATATGCTCGAAATTGGTGAACAACTGCGTTGATGAACTAATTAACCTGGGTCAAAAGAATAAAATTATTTTAAATGGGTACCAGGTCAGTCAGGGATAATCGGCAACAAGAAAGCTGATGAATTAGCAAGAGCACGGGCACAGGGGCAACAGATGGGACCAGAACCTTTCTGTGGCATCCCTAGAAACCATGCTATGCAAATTCTTAAGGACGACCTTCTAAGCGAACCAAAAAAACCGGTTACACCAACCAGGATTAGAGCACGCTAAATCATTAATAGAGGGTTACTCGAAAAAATGGACTGTTGAGTTAGTAGAACTTAGCAGGCCAAACACCCTTGCTATCGTAAGAGCATTGGACTGCTTTGTAAGAGCTTGGTCTGGACATTGCAAACTCATCAGACACCAATTACATATGAAATTGAGTGACACTGATGTTTGTAGATGCTGCAATCAGAAGTGTGAAATACCAAAACACCTTCTATGTGAATGTGGGCCTCCCATCCGCAAACGTAGTATTCATTTGGGACAACGTATAATACGCCCAGATGGAAACCAATCTCTAAAAGCTAGAAACAGTTTGAGCTTCTTGGAATCTGTCGGGCTAAAAGAGATACTTTAACTTGGTGGCGTTTTACAATGGATCTAATAGGTCGCAGTGACTACATTCGCATTAGGACTGCATAGCCTCAAAAATCTAAAATAACAATACACCTCGGTGACAGTGTTTATTTAATGTTTTCATAAGCATAGAACAGCTGCGCCTCTTGGAAATAAGAAATAGCTATATTGAATATGGACAATGTGTATATATTATATCTATATGGAGGACGTTGTGAATTTGAATTTTGTGAAAAATTTGTGAAGTTGTGAATACACGTATAAAAAGAAGAACAGTGTAATTATCACCACCCTTCCTCAGAATAGAGTAATTGTTTTTGATTTGTATACATTTTTTTGCAGAACCACTTCACTGACTTGTACTGTTGTAGACTATACGGGATACAAAGGGTTAAATTAAAACCGAACGATTCTTAAAAAGTACCGACTCGTTTCCAGATTTGTAACTTACTCTGAGAAAATACTACACTTAATCAATCTGGAAAAAATATTTATACAGCAATCGCTCTACTGAAAAGTTGCCATTTCGAAACTGAAAACTCTACAAGAGTTATAACCCTTGTCATTGTCACCCTTCTAGAGATGTGTGTTTATTTAATTTATACTGTACAGTACAATTTGTACTAATGTAAGGTACGTTATACGTAATGATACCCTAAAGTCCCACAAAGGTCGTGACGACTTGCAGGCTTTCACCAAGTTTTGCTGGGCCAAGGGCCATGCATAACATCAGAATTGTTGGACAAAGTAATCTGGCGTAAACTTATTCGGGTCTTGTTTTGTTTCTACCTAGTATAATGAAGCTCTCTGATATTTCAGACAGATTCATGGCCCAGCTGTGTAGTTAGCGTTTCAAGGGACATATTGGATGTCATAATTTTAATTACTATTTTCCAAGGCTTATTAAATTATACATATTCATATGGAACAGGAGCTAACTTAAAGGTGAGTTAATACACTAAGGTTGAGAATTGGCTTACAATTTAAAGTAGCCTGTGCAAATTCGTGCCGATGGGAAGGGTCGTCTTTACATTATACGTACATACCTACCTCTGAGTTAACACACTCCCTTTCACTAGCTAATTGGATTCGTATTACGTTTAGCAAGCTTAAAAACCGGCCAAGTGCGAGTTGGGACTTTGAGTACTAGTATTATCTATACAACATTACACACTATATTATAGTATCAAGCAAAAAAGGCCAAAAAAATCACGTCTGTTGTATTTGTATTTTTTAATTTAATTATTTATTTTTAAAGTAAATATACATATGTATGTACAACTAAATATTCTATGAATATTTCAAGCGTCTATTCAATTCATAAAATTTAAATTATTGCACTCATGTGGTTACATTGATGGTTACAAAATGCTTATAGTACCTAACATGAACCCTGTCAGGGTATCGAAATATACAGTCTTAAAGATAAAAAATACATAAGAATTTAATTAATAAACAATTATGTATATGAGGAACCTAATTTACCTGTCTGTCTACCTGTTGTCGTTATTAATAAAGATCAAAAAATGCCAAAA